AGTTTTAGATCCTATTGGAGAAAGTATCTACACTGGCTTACTCGAGCGGATAACTCGAGCCGAGGAGGGTCAGTGTACCGGTAGCATTGCTTTCCGGCTTAACTGGTGGTGCTCCCCGCCTAAAACAGGTGTGACTAAAATCCTTCACCGGGTGACGAACACCTCGGCTATCTCAAAGAAAGCGGGCTATGTCAAGAAAATGCCCAATTTTTAATTTCAAAAAGACTCAGAGGGGGTGCGTGAGAAAACAGTTTATATGTACAGTTCAACAATATCAAAATGATAAAAAGCGAATAGGTAGCACATTAGGCACAAATAAATCACAATATTTAAAAAATTAATAAAGCCAAATAAAAAGTCAACATGTACAAGCTCGAATTCTTATGTAATTCCCCAGCAGAGTCGCCAGAGCTGTCACACCCCTTTTCTACCCCTCCAAATAATAATAGTATGTGTATGGGCCAAAGAGTTTTTTCAATTAAAGTGACAAAATTTGAATACTGATTATTTTATTGTTCAGAGTCGCCACTTAGAATTGATTTTTTCGGTGTTCCAAGTCACCATTTATTTGGATCCCTAGTCAAAGGAAGGTTTGACTCTATTTTAATCGGTCCGCGAAAAAAAAGTTCGGGTAAGGAATGCTGTTGACCGGGGAGAAGGTATAAGGCATTCTCCGAGTCCCGTGGTTCTAGAACGGTCGCTTTATTAACTTAAATGGCTTGAATTAATTTTGGACAAACTGTGATTTATATTATTTTCATGTTTTACCTATCCTCTTTTATCTCTTGATTATTAGAAAAAATTAAAGAATATTTTTGAATAATAAGATGTCATAACCACACTACGCAAGCGAATGCGTGATCGACGAAATTTATTATTAAGTCATAACGGCGCTACGCAAGCGAATCCGCAGTCATGACAGACGATTGTTAACACGTCATTTACTTTTGAAAAATTGCTGCAATTGTGTTGGAGGAAACAATAACCCTCTTTTTTTCCAGAAAATTTATTAAATGTCACTACCACGCTACGCAAGCGAATCCGTGATTATGACAAAAGATTTATAAATTAATTAAAACTATTGAATATGACATGAAATTGATGAATTAACTTATTAAAAGTTAAGCGTCACGCTACACAAGTGAGTCCGTGAAGTTAAAGCGCACCTACTATTTGCCTAACGTTTAAATTAATTAAAGGGAAACTAGTTAATTAAAATAGTAGAAAAATCTGATATTATTATTATTTTTTCGAGCTTTATAGTTGGGAAAAATTATGCAAATAAATGTTGGACCAACTTTATCTATTTTAAAAGAAATGAGCCAACTTATTGTTAGAAAAATGGGCCAGCTTGTATGGAGCTTTTGGGCTGCTGGAATTTATTATTAAAATGGGCCAAGAAATGAATTTCAATTGGCCCAATGCTATATAGAAGAAAAGGGGTAATTTTGTTGTTTAAAGGTAAATGGACCAACTTTTATCTTTGATTCAATAAGGCCCAAAGTTGATACAATTTTAGCTCTTTACTTAGTTTAAGTTCATGACCATTAACTAAATAGTCACAATTGTATAAACGTCCACTTTACAAAAATAGCCATTTTTGCAAATCCGGCAAAATGGCCAGATTCACAAAGATATTATCACAGCATTCCTAGAAGCATATGTTGGCAGTGAAATTTCAGCAACTAAAACGAACTCATGCTATGTGTTATACACCTAAAGTCATTCATGGCATACTTAGCATTGTTACTCGGATATAATAGCTTGAAAACATGCTTAAAAAATCCATAAACGACTTACATATCACATTCAAAAACTTACAACTCAATATTCAAGTATTATGAAGGACTATATTCACATTATCACATGCTTGATACATAACAATAACATACAAGCTCTTTTGTTGTCAAACTATTCATCACATCAAACACATTTAAATGGTGCAGCATGTTCAAGTTGTTCCCATTGCTGAAATTACGTACATTACGAGTCTTAAAGAATTACTTGGTAGCAAAAGAATAAACAGTAGTTCAGCAACTAAAGCAGCAGCAAAACAGCAGCAAAACCAGCAGCAAATCCGTGTTAAAACAACCCGAAAACTTAGAGAGGGAACCCAGAAACGAACTCTAAAGAGGACTTATACTTTTTTAAAAGTTTGCACTCTAAGATTCACTCCCAAAGCTCACCATTTCAGCTTACTTTTCATGTGTTCAACTGCTGAATTTTTTTTGTTTTTGTGACAAAGCAATTATAAAAATGCCCCCTGGAAGTGTGATGGAGTCCCCTCAAAGTGAGGAAAGGGCAGCCCTTAAATAGGCAAATTTGGACAGATTTTGGTTCACCAAATGTCTGTCCGACAAAAACTGACATTGTGTGCTAAACACTGTTCAAAATCTGTCCAAAGGTCAAAGGAAATCTACTATGTCAGAAACAAAGAGAAAAGAAAAAAAAATATCATTTCAGCCACCCTAACTAGTAAAAATAGGCTACTAGCACCCTATTTTGTGATAAAATAACATAAACTTCAGATTTTACCAACATCAATATCATTCTGTTGATTCAAACTAAACCAAGTATTAAAACATGTAATTAAACTTCACACATGTGTTATGAACCAATCGTAAGCAAACAAAAATTAACTATTAAAGCCAAACGAAACACACGCTATCGCTGGAGCGATTTAATAAAACCAACAAGACAAACATAATCAAAAATGGATTAAATGAAGAAACAAGATAGAAACTAACTTTAACTAAAAAAATTAAAAAATTAATAACGGGGCAGGATTACGATTTTACCATATACTCTCAAGTATTTCCTCACTATCTCACTTTAATCAACACAAAGCTATTTTACTACTTCAACAAGTGCAAAAACAGAAAATTTAACATTCCAAAACTTCAAAAACTAATGCTAAAATAATTAATAATAAAAAATAAAATCTGAAAAATAAAAATAAAAATAAAAAATCAGCCATGAAAAAGAATAGGATTTTACCATTTTACAATTCAAGTGGCCGAAAAAATGGTGGTATGCCAAAAGAGGGTGTTCGGGGAGGTCGCCGGAATTTGGCCGGATTTTGGTCGCCGAATTTTCAGGGTGAAATTGGCATCAATAGCTAGGTCTTGAGGAGCTCTATCCATTGATGTAGGTATTGTGGGGTCGTAGTGGTTGGAGCTTCAATAATTTGGGTAAAAAAGTGACGGGAAAGTTTCCTAGATCTAAGATTCAAGGAGTTTGAGGGATTTTTGAAGGATTTGGTTTGGAGATATGGAAAGAGGAAGTTGTGGAGATTACATGGTGTGAATTTGGAGGTGGTCCGCCGGTGGCGGCGATTTTCGGCCGGCGGCGGTGGGGCGGCGACAACGGCTTGGGGGGAGAGAGAAGAGAGAGTGATGAGAGGGAAAGAAGAGAGAGGAAATAATGGGGAAATGGGGAAAATATTTGGGGATTTTAGGCTTTAAATACCTAGGATGAAGATCAAACTAGGACCGTTGGATTAAATCAAGATGAGTGGATGAGATTGAATCTTGTCACTTAACCAAAACGACGTAGTTTCAAGACAAAACTACGTCGTTTTAAGCTCTTCTTGGCAGCCCCTTTTTGGACCGGGTTTGGGCTCTTTGGGCTTAAATTTGGGCCAATTTTGCACAATTTTAATTAAATTACACTAGTTCAAACCCTACCCCATTTATCAAACCATTACTCAACTCTTAAAACCTATACATACACAAATAAGAACAAACACACACACACATACATATTATATATATATATATATATATAAGGCAAAAATTAGGCATTTACACATAAAATATTCAGTTTGACGAAGAGATCAGTGTTTCATATATTGGGCTATAAATCCGCCACTGCCTTTCTAGCCATTTACAAGAATCCATAGTCAAAGTGAAGTTACAAAACTTGCTTCATCATTTCCATGGTGAAGAAGGAACATTGTTGGTGTAACAATATTTGCAAAAAATGTACAAGCTTACAGTAGATTGAAACTCAGGTTTCTAATGCAAATCTGCATCCTAAAATCAGTAAATGTTATGGTCTCCAGATCCTTTGCAGCTGACGAGGACATGGTGACCTCAATATGGGTGGAGTGGAAAGGGGCATCGGGCACATGTATCAACGGGTTCAACTTAACCATCATCTTTGACATAAAATATAGATATAAAACGCAAAGGGTTCTATTATAAAGACTTTTTTAAAATTAAATTGAATATATCAGTTTAAGTTCTGAAATCGTCTCTCGAAAGAAGCACATGGGAAAAGGTCAAGAGGGAGAAACTAGTAGTACATTGGAAAGGCTTGAGATATTATTTTTTTCTGTTTGCTCTGTTTTAGTTGAATGAATATGAAAGATATTTCGATGTAACTTGGTCAGTTTTCATTGTTTATATTGAAAATAAAATAGTGGAAAAATTACTTTAACGTTTTATTATAAATTAATTATGCCTTGATATGAGTTGCGTCATGTTTGGTCTGGAGTCTTTGTCTCAATAACTACAACATTTTAGGTATTTAACTACACCTGAAAAGCGTGGCTTTAACTATCAGATAGTGTGATATTTGACTAAAGGCCACACTTTCGGACCTAAGACACCGCTTTTTGAGGAGTGTCCTAAATGAGCGTAACCTTTGCCCTAAGACAACGCTTTTTAAGTGTTGCTTTAGAAGCCACATTTAAAAAACGTGGCTAAAAATTAATAAAGGTCACGTTTGTAGTGCCCTCTATGGTAACACCTTTCGGCACTACAACAACACATGAAAAATGTGGCCTTTGTTACTTTTTAGAACACGCTTGAAAGCATTGCTTTTGCTAGTATATAAGACACAAATTTTCCAATCCCTGTGGCCACACATTTGATGTGTGGCAATTGTATCTAAGCTATGAAGTAATTTATTTTCAATAAAATATATTTTCGTTTGTATCCCATAATCACGTACGAAGATCTCAAACACTCAATTATATAAAAAAAATAACAAAAGAATAATTCCAATGCATATACTTGCAATGAACTTCAAAAAAAGATTAAATCTTGTGTAATACAATGAAGCAAATTATTTCAAGGTTCATGCTTGTAACTTTACAAAATCAAATGTAGTATCAGGAATTACAAAAATCGTAATTGTCCAAAGTCTTCATCGTTAAATTCCAATAGATCAAAGTCTTTTGGCACCATTTTTAATTGTCCACCAGAACTTTCCTACAAAATAAAATTATTAATTAGATAGAAATTCATAGTATGCAAGTGCAAACTCAGAGCAATGTGGTAGAGTTGGCCCCTTGGGGACTCAGGACAATACTATCACATATAAGTAAGAGATATACATATACACGACTTAAACAAATGACAGAGTAGAGGAAAATCTATATATGTTGTAGTGCTAAGATGAAAATGTAATCGAATGATTCGAGTAACAGAGCCTATGGACAAAAATCATGCTCAATTGGCCTTCCTCATTTGTTTTCTTAACATCCAGGCATCTAGTTATATTCTCTCAATAGTATGATTATGTTGCTTCCTTTTGTTTAATTCCTGTATACTGATGGAAAAACTAGATTAGTGGATTTCTTTTCCAAAATGAACATTAACTTAACATATAGCATATACTCAATCAGCTCACTTTCAATTAAGCTAAAAATAACTAGATACAAACACCTTACCCAAATCAAGGATGTTGTTAGCTAGAATTTGGTATGTCCAGTCTGCTATCTGATTAATAGTTTTTGAGATAGAAATGTAATCTACCAGTGAGTACCTCTTACAGGTGACTATAATCACTTAGCTATCATTGTATCTTAGAATCTTGCAAGAAATTAAAAGTGTAGGTACAACTTCTATTCCATTAACCCTCCAATCTGTATAGAGAGATACTAAAAAACTTTCATCAGACAATTTGCTAACTCAATTTTACCCTCAAGCAATATTGGTCTCAATATTTTAAATACCTATTATAATAAAGATAATCATGTAGATCTTTATTCACTTAAAAGCT